AAAAAAAAACACATAACACGTTCAAAGAACAAGTTCAATATAATACTTAACATGTATATGTATGCTTGGAACTAGAAAAATCTAAGATATATCAAAAGATCCGAAGAACAAAATAAAATACAGATGGGGTGTGGGAATATGACCCTCGTGCAAGATCTAGTGCCAGTTGGACAACTAGTTTGAATGCAAGCTTCTTTCTGCGGTTCTTTATGAGGTAAGATTTCAGTGCGCCACCAGGACAATATTCGACAACAACACAACAAACGTTACGTGGCATGCCAACTTGGCCATTATCTGTTTGTATGTGTAGCTCTGATGTTCCCATTGTAGCCCCTATAAACTGAAAAGAAAGAGTTGGTATGAGTAAGCTAAACTACGTTGACATAGGCATCCCAATTCATGTAACAATAATAATCTTATTGAAGAAAATTTGCAGGTGCCCGACACAATCTTGGGCGGGGCAAAGAAAAAAGCGACATCCCACTTGAGAACCGACATCCATTTTAAAGTTAATTTTGTTTCAACATTGCATCAGCTATCTTGTATTTATGTTGGATATGAACACGACTGTGCATTCTCTTGATACATAGGTCTAACCAAGAGGTTAAGAGTGTAAGGCTTATGCTTTTCAAGGTTACATGAAAGCTCACAACATTCCAGTGTGAAGACATGGAAATGTTACCTTGGTTACATTAGGGTGGTCAAGCTTATGCCAGACAGCAACTTCTTGAGTAAAAGCTGCTCTTAGAGAAGCTATTTCAGCGTCTGATCTATGCCCCTCTTCTCCCCAATCTAGAAGTTTAACTGAATATTGAAAAAGGAAGGAAAGTAAAGAGTTAACAAAAAGATAGTTCTATGGTTCAGGTTAGAATACAAACACAAATAAACAAGAGTTCTCTCCACCCTAAAACAATCACGCAGATAACAGAAATAAAATGCATAACATCGAACTTAATGAGACAATTATCATACAACGTATCTGGCATTGATCCGAATCTAATTATGGCTTTCAACATAGATCAATTTGGACTATTAAGTTCTGTTTTTAGCTTGAACTAATTTGCATGAGAGTTTTATGAACGTTAAGATGAAAAGTCATATGGAAGCTTAGTAGCTAGCCAGTATTGAGTCAATTTTTTCTACACATTTGCTTTAAAATCGCCAGCTGTTGTTGTCACCGAGTGAGAAGTAAAAATACTACATATCTATAATAAATTAAAACAAAAAGGGTTTTTTTTTCTTTTTTCTTTCTTTATAGAAAATACTGCAATTATTACTGCTAACTACCACAGCTGCTCCCGATCCGTGAATCACGGACATTGTGAGGCTAGATCTGTAAGGCTTTATCACAAGCCACTCTATGATTTTTAACAAAAGTGCATAAGAAAGATACTTTCCCTCTGGTTGTGTTGTTGCTAATCAAAGTCAGGAATATTAAGAAAAAGAAGAAGAAGAAAAAAAAATTATTTGGAAGCCTTCAAGAAATCCCTCACTTCAACTTCATACCTAAGAAACATTGGAGAATATTGGTAGAGATTTGAGGAACTAGCAGAAGTAAAAGTAGAAAAACCCTTCACCACTAAGTTGCACAGAAGCCTGAAACTTGTATGACACCATCGAGACAGAGCGATTTCTTGTGATACTTACTAAAGCACTGTGCAAGGACTTTTATTTCATTTACGAACCAAAAACCAATGAGATTTCTTATTCCTTACCCAACTACAGTAAATACTTCAAAAAGCTAGTTAAACATTGTTAGAAATTTCAATCGCCCTCAAACCCAAAAGTTTCAATCTTCTCCATCATTCATGTAAAAATTAAAATTAAAACAATCCTACCTTAGCCAAACACCTCGAACTTTTTTTCTTTTTCTGCAATTCACCTAGTGCAAACCAATGTTCGAAAAATCGCTAGGCGGTAGGCGGGCGGCAGGCAGGGGCCTAGCGCCTAGAGGAGTAATCAGGGCCTAGGCGAGGGGTCGTCGATGCCTCGTGGTGGTGGTCGACTCGTGAGAGAGAGAGAGAGGAGGCGACAGCCCGCCTAGGCGCCACCTAAGGGTAAACCGTGGCGGTGTCCTCCCGCCTAGCGCCTAGGCGGCTGCCTAGGCCGATTTTTCGAACACAGGTGCAAACCAATACAAATGTCATAATCTTCTTCCTAAACATAGAAAGCCTCATAAGTCATGGCAATGTCATTGAGGATAGCTCAAGAAGAAGTCTGAAACATGCATGTTAACACGCGTGTATCAACAAAAGGATGAGTTTGTCCAAGGAAAGAACGAATTTTGAGACATTGGTATTAGTTTTCATTACATGGGCACCCTCAAGAGTAAGAACCCCAAACAAAATGTCAAAGACCCCAAAACAAATTCCATAAGAAAGAGCAAGCAAAAAGTGCAATACCAGCAACGTCTTGGCCATCATAAATGCCACGGTGAACAGTACCAAAAGTGCCTCGAGCTATGGCACCCTTGACGATGAGTTTGGAGGGATCAATCTCCCAGTCTTGCCTTGTAGAAGCAGTCTGCCTTGATGCTGCTTCTTCTTCTTCCTCTTCCTCTCTCTTCTTGTTCTTCTCCATAGTCCATGATCTGCTCAGGTGCTTCTGGAGCTGCTCGTCCAAACTCTTCAGATCTATCTGATCCGCTCTCACATACCCACCGCCACTCTCACTCTTCTCCTTCATTTTCAGTCTTTATTTTCAAATACTGACGCACCCTTTTGGCGTCAAAGTGAGGAAAGGGCAAGCCAAGGAGCAAAGCTCTCTGCTTGTGGCTCGCTATTAATGTTGAGGATGTACTCAGAAGGAAGGACTATAAATGGTGTCACCAAAATCAAGCAACAGTTCTACTCTGTTTCCCTCACTATCATCCATGTGGGCACATGGATTTTGCCTGAAGGCGACGTCAGTCTCTGACCCACCTCAGTCTCTCTCTATCTCTCTCATCCTCTTTCTATCTCTCTCTATTATTTATGCTTTTATGGAAACGAGAAAGAAGCAGGAGGACTCTCTGTTGCAGTCAACATACCTTTTACTTCCTTTAATATTTTCTTTTCTTCTAATGCTTGTACCTCCAATATAAAACATTATTTACCACAACCCTCTTATAAAAATGTGATTTTTATTTTTGTGATCTATCCTTTTCAGGGACCTGCCATTATCTTTCTTAGTTTATCTGAAAGTTAACTAATCATTTCGATTATACTTTCATCCAAAAAATAAAAATCATTTGGATTATACTAGGATACATTCATTTATGTATTTTAAACACAATTCATGAGGTTAAGAAACAAAAGTGATTTTACCTTCTGAAAAGAGTTTTCTAAAATCATACCACCCTAGCATGCAGTGAAACATTCTGTGACTTCAGTTGAACATTATCTTAATAAAGTGTGATTTCATTTATTTATTTTTGTTCATGATAGGGTGAGCCAATGATAGAAAGACATGTAACAGGCACATGGTTGCATTAATGCCACCATGCATGCAGCCATCTGTTCAATGTCAGCAAAAAATATTCAATCTCCCCAGCAACTAGTTCTTTATTCTGTTTCTCTATTTATACAAAAATGCTATGGTGTGTGGGTGTGGCCAAAGTCCTAGAAATATTACCTCCCAAATTTGTAAGGGTTGGCCAAGATTTTATGACAAACAAATGGAGCTGTGGTTGGCGTGGAAGAAAAGAGAACTTGGGTCGTGTGGTCAAGGGCTGTCCTTGTAATGTCTTTGCCAATTTGGGTATGTTCGGTTTCATGATAGGAAACATATACGGAAGAAAGAAGGGCACTTTGGCTCCTTTTCTGTACACCCATAGTGGCTCTGTGGTCAATCTTAGAATGTGTGTTCTTTGCATAATTCAGATTCAAGCACACATTGTGCGGCTTCTGTTCAAGTAGAAGTAGCAAGTTTTACCAGCTGAAAATACTTTTTACTTTGCTCAGTAAAAAGGAAAACGGTAATTCAAAGTTACCTCTCCCATGATTTAGTATAGAGAGAGCTGGATAATTTGCTGTTGAACAAAACATCAACATGCCCGTGAAGCCTTCTCTTTTTGACTTAATTGGGTTAGGCATCAAAAGCAGAGGCCATTACTGGTATAGAGAGTCAAGGGGTTCACGGGGGGAGAGGGGTTCATAGATCAGAGAAAGTGCCCGTGATTCTAGCAGCCTGCCTGTCAAAGGGTCCTTCCCAAAAGTCCAGATTTATTTATCTCTACGGATAAATATATCTGTATCTGTGATATAGAATATGCCAGAACCATAAGATAAAAAGTTTTCAAAGTACATTTCATGCCGACATGAACACATTTGAACAAAAGAAGGAGCATGAACTACACCTAACACCTTGTAGAAGCATTACAGAGTTCAAAAGCGGTTCCACTCATTATATTTTCGAATATAATTTGAAGGAGTATACAAAATCGCGCCTTGTGGTAATCCCAGTTGAGAATGGCCATATACCTATACAAAATATATCCAACTTGATTGGCAAAAGTTACTCTCATAATTCCAACTTAATAGATAACGGAGCCTTCTTTCATGATAAGATACGACGTTTCTTTTTCTCTGGTGTTGCATGTACTTGTGCCTTGACCCCATATGTTTTTAACTGAAAGTTTTCAAAAGCCTCAGAAATTGCTCCAACCTGTACATTTGCGTTGAAGAATATGAATATGTTTAGTCCGAGACAAGAAAGGTGAAGATAAAAACAGTGATCAAACTGTGGTAATATTTTATTTGACAGACCAGCTCAGGCTTTTTGGAGTACACCCTCACTATCATATCTTGATATGATGTAGGCAGCAAGTGACTAACGTGGTCCTCACGTATAGTGAATTTCTCCTCACTGTCATAATCCTGAATAGACACATCAAACTTGTCTAATTGACACAAACAAGACTAACCATATATAAAACAATTCTTTGACCAAATATATATATATATATATACAGAACAGTTGCATCATAAAACAATCAGAATTTTGGATCATCCTGACTCAGTATAGATGTATCCATATAAAAGGTTAAGAGACTTCAAAAAAGTAGTGCACAGGTTAAGTGACGTACCTGGAAAAAGTTGATACTGGAAAAGATACATGCATACAAAAGAGAGAGAGAGAGAGAGAGAGAGAGAGAGAGTAAGAAAAAAAAATATATCATTTGATGCTTAATAATGGTTGCACCAAAATGTAGAACAAAAGGCTTGCTAAAAGACATCCTCAAGTACCTTTCAAGAGGACTATGTCTCCCACGAGTCAAATCAATCCTGACGTTGCAAACAGCAACATCCTCCTCCTTCAATGTCACTCCATTTTTCTGTGAAATAAGTAATATGGCATTAGTAGTGAGACAATGTTTAGCAGTGAAGCAACAAAACACCGAAATGGAAAGGACTGGCTGGATCGTAACCTGAGAACAAACAATATCTTGAGCGGTGACATTTTTGAAATTTTCCATTTTATCCTTGGGTACAGCATACTCATTGCAGAACTGCCATCAAACGTTATCAAACCACAAAAGAGATCCATAAGTTACCTTCTCTGATTTCTCATTGAGTCCAGAAAGGGAGTGAGCAGCAAAGACTTACCTGATAAAGATTTCTCCTCCTAATCCGCAGGATTAAGTCCCTAGCTTCCTTTAGTTCTTCGTTTGGAGCTGTCTCAATAGTTCTAATAATGGTGTCATCTAACTACATTTAAATAATTTCAAGCATAGCATTCTAAGAATTAGGGAGTCAACTGAAAGTGAAACCAAATTTGGAAAATTGATTCTCAAAACCTTCCAGTATTGAGAGGGATCCTCAATGTGAGAGGCAATGTCTAGATAATCATTTGCTTTCACCAGGGCATCAACCACCATAAGCTCTATGGCCTACAAAAGTTATTCACTTAAGATAAAATCATTTTCAAAGTCTAACAAGGCAGTAAAACTGGGAAATAGAGAAAAACGTTATGAAGATGAAAAAAATCTGGGATGCTCAATAAAATATCTGTTTTATACCTTTACTTTTGGATGTGTATAAACTGTTCGATACAAATCAGCTCGAGTAGCAAATAACTTGTGGACAGTGAGATCTAGACAATAGACAACCATTAGCAGCAGAAAACAAAAATCAAATACTAGTATGATAAATGAATTTGACAAGATACTGACAATCTTTGGCACGATAGCAGATCTCATCATCCATAACCCGCATTGTCTCCATTAATCTGATAGAGGGGTAAAATATATGATGCTAGAAGAGATCATTCATGTATCCTTTTTAAAAAGAAAACTATGAGAGGCACCAAACATAATTAAGTCAACTTTAACATCAGATAATAACCTTTGAAACTCAAAGTTACATCCCAGCCCACAAGCGCGGCAGTCACGGACAATATAATCAAACCTGTTAATGAATAACATCTCATAACATTAGATTCCAGTATGAAAGTTACATAACAAGTGTTAAAATGAAGTACAAATGAGTAGTAACACAGCAGAAAATCTTGAAGTGTCACATACTTGTCCACATCAATTCCATTACGGCCATTTGCAACAATTTCATACAGAAAACGCTTCTCTCTTGAGCTCTACTTATAATTTAAAAGAAAGGAAAAGGTAACGTCAAATATAATGACAAGAAAAAGAAAAAGTTCTAAAATGAACAGATGCGATACTAATGCTGGTTTTTAAGCATCTTACTCTTGGCATTGCAAATTCAGAGCTGGCCAGTATCATCTCCTGCAAACGGAAAACAAAAATCAACCATGGAAACAGTATCATCTCCGGTCATAAGTAAAGTATCATTAATAGTTCCTCTCAAGGAATAAACTACTAACCTTAACTCTTTTAATCATCTCAGGGTCAATATCAATATGATGCTGATTAACAATGTGGTCAACCATCTTCACTGACATATCCTCATGAGACCTAGAAAGTTCATATATGAGATAAAACATACATAGAATTTGCACAAAACCAAGGGGAAAAAAACTTCCAAAGCATAGGCTCCAACTATAGGTTCTTTCTCTCCTAATTCTTTTTGTGATAAGAAACAACTGACACAGAAGGCATTCCCCCATATAAAAGGATAGTTAATAAAAGATGAAAAACATACCAATGGACACCACTCCGAACTTGGGGAAGAAACTCGCGTTCAAACAAGTGACTGAAAGGCCCATGGCCAACATCATGCAAAAGTCCTACAATTTCAATGAACAAAAGTACTCAGACAACTCAACAGAGGGGCAGTATGTTACAAATAACTATAATCACCTGCAATTTTTACGGTCTGGAGATCAAAGCGGTCAATATCAAGGTCCGAGCCCTGTAAGGAGGCAAGCATATATAAGAACATTTCAAAAAAAAATTTGCATTATATGTAATTACCAGTACTAAATGACAGACAACAGCGTTATACCTGATAATTTTTTAGCTTCTGAACAGCTTCACCAGCAAGCCAATAGACACCAAGCGAATGCTCGAATCTGGAATGTACTCCCCCTGGATAAACCAAGTGCGTAACTCCTGAAACATGTTAAAAGCTTGGCGAGTAAGCAAACAGCAATCTCAACATGATGACATACAAACTTCAATTACACAACAAAGCAAACACTCTGTTTTTTATAGGAGTGCAAATACAACAAGTCATATCCTAATAAATAAAAAATCAGAAGCCTTGTTCACAATACATGGATATTGGGTATAATGTTACAAAGGGCATAAACTTACCCAGTTGTTTGAGGTCACGAAGCCTGTAGAAACTCAAAATCAATTCATTAAGTACATAGCAAACATCAACAGCTACTGATACACATTTAATGTACAAACTCAATTTACCTCTGAAACTCCTCGGTATCGATGAACTTCAAAGAGAGCTGCAACAACAAAAAAAGACATTTAATAATTTTCCATTCAATTTCATTAATTTCAAAACTTTAATAACAATGCCAAAATCTTCAAAATTACTCATTTCCTATTTATAGATTCAAAAACCCATTATATAAACATATATATTTTTAATCCCAAAAGCAAAATAGATATTCCAAACTCGCAGTGCTTAACACAATGGGGGCATCAAAAGCGAAAATGGAGAAGAGTACCGGATCAAGGTAAATGTTGCCATGGACATTGTCGTGGACATGCTTCGAGATTCTGACGTCGTGGGAGGAACCGAGACTGTATATCGGCGACAAAACGCCGTCGTTGTTGTAAGCGCCCATGCTTAGTGGAACTGATGGTTTCGCATTCACACAGACACAGAGAAAGCGGCACGGAAACAGAGAAATAAGATCAGTTCCAGATATAGAGGGGCGCATAAAGAAACGTACATAAATTATACTTAATTATTAAGATTAAGTTGAGATAACTCATTACAGTTTAAAGTTTAACTCCGAGAAATTAGGGTGGGATATAGAAAGACGAAAATGAGAAGGGAAAGGAAGGATACAAAAAGGAGTTTCAGAGGTGGGGGGGAGTGGTGCCGCCAAATTCACAGTTTCTTTTATCAACGTGGGAAGAGGAATGTTTTTTCCATTTAATTTTTATTTATTTATTATTTTGACTCTAGGGCTCGTTTCGTTGCAAGCGAAACGCTGCGTTCTGGATCTATAAATCTCCGGGATTAAAAAATGATGGGCCTTTGCTTGGTCCCAGCCCGTTTTTCTGAGTGGCGGCCACATTCGACTTTAAAAAAGCATGGGCCTTGTTTTTTGATTGCGGATAAGATAACGTATATAAATGAGAGGCCAATCAGTGACCAACGAGATTAACTTCCATTGCTGCAAACACACAGCCATGGTTGTTGTGTCATCCACTTCGCCTTCTCTCAAAGCCAAATTCAACCCCCAAAGCTTCACCGTCACAAGCCATCTCTGCAACTCTACCTGCAAACCCACTTCACCTTCTCTGCTATACCTCGGTCAAATCTATGGCGACACCACCAGACCCAACAGGTCCAAAGTGCCAAACTCAAATGGGTTCTTCTCTGTTAAAGCTTACATGGATAATCCAAACTCCATCTCCAGCTTCGCCAGCAAGGTCATTGGCTCTCTCCCTGTTGTTGGGTTAATAGCAAGAATTCTGAGCGATGAAGGTGGCCTTGGTGGAGACATTATTGATTTTGCAGAGTTTCGAAGGCGGGTGGGGAAGAAGTGTACAACTACTGATTCTCGAGCTTTTTATGAATTTCAAGATCGACGTGGCCGGGTATTGATTTTCGTTTACTCTAATCAAATGCTTATCTTTAATTTTGTGTCTTTGTGTGTGTATAAAATTCTATTAAAATATGAGATTTGAGTTGGAATATTTTTTTTTGGGTAGGCAGGGGATCCTCTATATGTTCTACTATGCTGCTGGGTAGCAGCCATTGGTGCTGGTCTTCTGAAATCTGAGGAGATTTTAGAAGGGGCGGCGAGGCTGCGGGTTTCGAATGATATCGAATTTGAAGAGCAGAATTTCATTTCCTTGATCAACGAGGCAAAAGAGGTTGGTTGGTTGTTTACCCTTTCAAGTATCTTCTTGTTCAAGTGTAAAATTGAAGACGTATGCTTGATGCTGCTAAACATGTGTGGCTTGGCTTGAAGTTTTTATTCAGGGTTCTAAGTGAAACTGATGTATGAAAATGCAGAGAAGGGCAAAACTAAAGGCTGCTACCCCAATTATCCCATTGGAGATTCGAATCGAGAAGGCTCTTGAAGGGATCTACCTCTGCTGCTTTGGGAAGGACCCTATAGAAGAAGAAGACGAGAGACTTCTAAATGTCATGCTTAAGGCTGTTTATCCATCCGTTGAGCAGTCTGAGATACAACGGATTGTCAAGGACAAGGCACAGAAAGTAGGTGAAGGCAGTGATGAAGGCAGTGTTCGAGAGCCAAAGCCCCTATCAAAAGAAGCTGTTAACATGCAAATGAAGGACCTCCAATTCCTTCAACAAAATAGAGAGACTTGATATTAGAAGTTCTTGTGCCCTCACTTGTAAGAAAATTTATGACTGAGAAATTCACAGGAGAACTGCACAACCTAGCCAAAGCCCCTATCAAAAGAAGCTGTTAACATGCAAATGAAGGACCTCCAATTCCTTCAACAAAATAGAGAGACTTGATAGTAGAAGTTCTTGCCCTCACTTGTAAGAAAATTCATGACTGAGAAATTCACAGGAGAACTGCACAACCCGGAAAACTGTACCGAGAACTTGTGCTATGCATGTATCTAGCAGGCTTGATTGGTACTTTGGTGGTAACAGATTATGCTAATGAGATAGAACAAAGAGTTCTCTTTTTTATCATTTCTCCCTTACTCTAGGATTTACCGATTTTGTTCGAATTTTGAACCAGAGTGTATGAATTTTGCCAATCAACTGAACTAGAGAACCTTCCTCTACTTTCCTTTGATTCCCCGTCGAGAAAAGAAATGGCATATAGCTTCCAACTTATTAATTGAGGATTAACCATCCAAACAACACCATACTTTGAAAAAAAGGTGGTAGGGGATAGAAGAGAAAATACTACAACAACAAAAAACTTAGGGCAGAAACTCCACTTGCATATAACCATATGATATCTCATAACAGTAACAGTTCATAGGGTAACACAAATTTAAAAAACCAAGCAAGTTCCTTTTACACTATTTGACTGGAGTTACCAGCTGTGCAGCAGGCCAGAGTTAAGATGGTAAAACCAGCAGCCTCCCCTTGTACGAGTAGACTCCGATAGAAACAGCTTCAAGATGTCTGCTAAACAAAAAATCTTCTTAGGCATCAATTGCACGGACCAAGAAAAACTACATATCAATGTGCCACCACATTAACCAAAAATCCATATCTTTACTGATTGAAATATGATCCAAGAATTGCAGGGATGTGTATGCACTAGGGAAGGTCATTTTTCGACAACACTAACCACTTCACGAGCACCAGCATTAGCCAGTTCATTAACATCAATCAGTTCATATTCTACCAGCGACAAGTTGTTCTCTTCCTTAACAGCGAAGCTAGCTGGTTCGGTTACTTCAACTCGACCCCACTTGTCCACAGCAAGTCTCATAGAACCCTTGAACATGTCTATTTTTGCATTACGCAGAATCACTGTAGCGCCAGTCGTCATCAAATCAACTGTCCATAAGAAAGTTCAAGACAGTGTAAGATAAAAACTCATCTTATATCTTTGCAACCAAGTATCAACAATTTATTCAGTACTATTGTTCCTCAAGGACTCCCCTCGGAATAACCACTGCAATTCTCAATACAAAAAGAGTAAAACAAACAACAGTTGTTTGTTTGAGTTTAAGCAAGTAAACATGAGTTGTGAGGTAGACCATTAAAATGAAGGAAAAAAGAGAAGGGAAAAGAATTAATTAACAAGCAAGTAACTTGGAAAGAAGACTTGAGTAGAAATTTATGTATGCATGATGCATGATAATAATGTAACAGAAAAAAGCAAACCATGGAAAATCAAGACAAGATAAAGAGCAATGGCTAATAAAAGCACTACCTTGGTCATTTCTGGCAGTAAAAATGATGGTTCCGGTTTCATCACCAACCAAGCATTCAGCAATCCTCATCTGACGAACTTGGATCCCTTCAGGTCGGGCCTTCTGCAATACCATCTTCGAACTAACAACCTTTACAACCAGGGTGTGTCCCTTGGTGTCTGGTTTCAGCTGATCAACCTTCTTGAAAACGGGTTTCCTCTTTGCTGGTTTTGTTTCCTCCATTTCTAACAAGCTCTAAGCTACCAACACAGAGAAACACATCAACAACTGTCTTCCCAGATCGCACGCAAAATGCAAAATACAAAATGAGATGTACCATTTTGATACAAATGCCAACTGCTTTCCCAAATGCAATCGTACATAGATGGACAAAACAGTATCAAACAAACCTCAAAAGACACTCCAACAATAGAAATAAAACGTCATGAATCTAGTACTTCAAGTTAGCCACATTTGCCACGAGAAACATTCATAAAACTTAAGAAAACAAAACGAATTCAAGCAGTCGCAATTTTAATACAGATGCAATGCAACAACTATCTTTGTTTCTTTTTATTTTCAAATTATAACATTTGTCACACTGTCATTTAGAATGTAGACCGTGATGAATGATGATGAACACAGCAGAAACTAATAAAAGCGAGAAGCTAAAAAAGGAAAGCTAGTAACTTTTTCTTTTCTTCTGAAAGACAATATCTGATCCTTGAAACAACAACTCAGAATCCTGAATAAGAAATGTTATTTACCTTCCTTATACTTTCTGCCGTTTCCAGGTAAACAAAACAGGATTGAATGAAAATTAAGAAGCAAATGCAGAAAGGATTGAGTCTTGAAATTTACCGTTTAGAGAGAGAGAGAGAGAGAGAGAGAGACAACAAATTGCAGATCGAGAGAGAGAGAGAGAAAGGTGAATTTAGTTTTGGTTTTGGCTCTGTTTTTCTTTGTGTTGTTTTTACACTAGTGAGATGGTATGTGGTGGTGGTATTTGGTGACCGTCGAAATCGCCTTTTGAAACGAAAGCTTACTGGATGAATGGCCGTTTGATCTTCCACATTTTATGAACAAATCTTATCCGTACACATCTTCAAAACTAGTGGTCACGTCCAGATTGACTTTTCCATTTTTCTTATTTCCTTTTTGTGTTATGAATAAACAAAATTATACTTTAATTTATTTTCATTAATTAATTTTGAGATGAAATAGGAATGGATAAAAGTGTAAAAAGATAAGTACCAATAGCTAACAAGTTCTTATTATTGAAAGGGAAACTGTCCGTCCAGGCAGCATAAACTCACAAGAAGGCGGAAACTACAACAGAAAAAGGAAAAAAGAAAAACATTGGGTGCACAGACCCTATAAAAAGCTTTCGGTTTCGGCTACATTATTGAGTAGGAGCTCACTCATAGTTAGTGTCTGCAAGAGAACACAAACTAGCCGACTTTATCACAAGCACCGAATTTATTACTGATACTGGCTTGCTATTTTACCGTCCTTGACAATGTAGTTTTGTGCAGGAAAGTCTTCTCCCTTGAAGTACCTGTCAAGCATGTCCTTAACACCGGCAGCATAACGTAACTGCACAAATTCCATCATCAGTTTGAGTTGTGGGAAGGAAGGGGAACAAATGAAGTGAAACCACAAGCTTAGAGGAGAACATGATTAAAAGCTAAATGTACCTGTGCATCAATTGTGGTACCAGATATATGAGGGGTCATAGCATGGTTTGGCATGTAACGCCATGGATGGTCTTTTGGAGCTGGTTGTGGATTCCAAACATCGCCGCTGTAACCTGGCAAATCATAGAAGCAAATTAAATAATTAGCCAAAGTCGAAAGAGTGCATGACATGGACCTTTTTTCTTCCGTTAAGTAACCTTTTACATAATCTATACATTCTTCTTATGCATCTCATGACAGACCTGTTTTTTCATTCACAAACAAAGGAATGAGAATTTGAAGTCAAATTGAAATCATGAGAATTAGAAGCATATGTTCTTTCATGCTGTCTTCTTAAGTGGTTCAGATAAGGAAATTTCTATCAACATCACATATCTTTTAAATATAATCAACCAGAAAAATGGTAGAGGAACATTAGAATTATGTACTGCAAAAAGTTTTATCCATTCTTAAAAATTCATTGATTTGGACCTGATTATGCGTTACCTGCAATATGTCCACTGGAGGAAGCGTCAACAACTGCCTGTGTGTCCATGATTGCCCCTCGAGCATTGTTAACGATCAGGACTCCCTTCTTACACTTTGCAATTCTTTCTTTGTCAAACAGTCCTCTGAGTCAAAAGATCAATATCCAATAAGTTTAATTCACATCTCAATGCTTCGAATAGTATTACAGTGTGAAATTCTATCTTTTCAAACATCCCTCTGAGTCACAATATCAAAATTCTATTAAATTAGAACACTTTCACTGTACATGCATCCCTCAAGGAAGTAAGGGAAAAAGAGAAGATTGTCCACGGTTGTATTCATCCTATCAGTTTGTTAGCAGCAGATGAGGTGCTAAACACAATTTGATATTAATATCAGAAGATTGGTCTTCTTTAATCAGAAAATCTTAAATTTTAAAAATAAAGTCAGAAGATTAGTCTTGGCATAAGTCCATAACACACAAGTATTGATCTTATCAGCTTGTTAGCCATAGATAAGCTAATAAACACAATTATATAGTAATAAAGTCAGAAGATTGGTCTCTATCAAGAAATAAAGAAATAAGAAAAAAACATAGAAAAAGAAGAGCCAGAAGATTAGCCTTGACTTATTACCTTGTTTTCTCAGTAAGGGGTGTGTTGATAACAATAACATCACATTTTGGAAGCATTGCATCCAGATCCTCCTCAAACTTAGCCCCTATCTGTTGCTCCAATTCTGGGTCAATCTTGACCCGGTCATGATAGAGGAGATGACAGTTGAAAGGTTTCAACCTTTGGAGCAAAAGCTTGCCAATACGTCCAGCACCAACAGTCCCCACTGTCTTTCCTTCCAGATCATAAGCTCTGTGGGCAATACCTGCAACTTTCCATTCCCCATTAACAATCTGAGTATACCCGGGCACGAAGTTCCGCACAAGAATGAGGATTCTCATGAGCTCGTCTTCTGCAACCGAAACCACATTGCTTCCTGTGACCTCTGCAACTGTTAATCCAGCAGCAGCAGCAGCCTTCAGATCAATATGATCAGAACCAATTCCGGCCGTGAGAAGCAATTGCAAATTCTTGGCCTTTTTTATCCTTTCAGCAGTGACATAGGCAGGATGGAAGGGGGTTGATATGAGAACATGGAGATCTGGAATGTGTTTATCAAGTTCTGCATATAATGCAGCAAAAGACGAAAATTGTCATTAGTTTGAAGTATGAACAACTTGAAGAGCAAGCTTAGGCAAATTTCAAGGCCACAAACATGCTACCAGGACAAGCTTATCATAATTTTTTTAGTCTAAAAGCATCTTGACTGTATAATTGAGGCATCTCTGTTAATGCATTATGACATTGTGTATACAAAAAAAAAAAAGGTACTGGATTTATATGCACTAACCACAATCTGGTCCTTCTTTGTCATCAGTGACAATATACTTGTGGCCTTGTGATTCCAGCCAATCCCTTATGCCCAGCGCTCTCTCCTCACAACCCAGAAAATTGGGGTTCAGTTCTGCATATTCATTGGCCTTGTAAAACACCCCAACAATCTTTTTGCTTCCAGCAGATGCCTGATCATAGTGAAAGCAAATCAATAGGACCCAAAATATGAAATTTTTATAAATTAAACAAAAAAACCCCAAGCCAAGAATAGTTTTTTCAAAGGTGATCAACCGAATTTTTTTCTCATTAAAAAAATTGGAGGGAAAAGGAAGCAGCTTGTGAGATGGGGCTTATAATTAAGCAGCATATCCTGATCAACACTTACAGAATTAAGCTCAATTATTACAATTAATTGCTGCAATAATTATTTGAAATTATAAAAATTGCTTACATGGAGGTGCCTGGTGAAGGTGGTTGATGATGCTGAGCTCCCTGATGAAGCAAGAGTTCGAACGGCAGATGCAATCACACCCTTCATCGCCATGTTCCTTATGAATTTCGTGATAAAATTGGTCACCAAAGCCTTAGAAGAAATCAGAAATTAAAGTGATATAAAGTCTGAAGACAAGTAGAGAAGCCTCTGTGCTGTCTGCAACTCAAAGCCCTCTTCCCATTTATTTATAATAAGCAAAGCAAACTAAGCTCAGTCTCTCACACAAACTTGTCTTTGTTATCTGGTGGGGACGACGAAACGCTCCTTACTTTTATTTGTTCTTCCCTTCTAGACTTTTGTCTTTTCGCATCGTGCACCTGATGTTTTCCTATGCATGCTACGCACTTGTACAGTGTACTTGTCGGAAAACACTCTGTTTTGCCTTTTGGCAAATGTCCGAACCCAAAAGATGGTCCTTTCTACTGTGCTGGGCAGTATTTGTGTCTCAGAAAAAGATTAAGTCTTGTTGCATTTTTACTTAGAGAGACGAAATAATGCAACTTCCCACACTTCTTTTTTCGCTCGCTAATTTTTTATATACTCACCTATATGTATAAGACATATAGTTATTAAAATGAGTGAACTCCATCTACAAATTTCTTACTGGAAGTAATCTAAATTACTCTAATTTATGGCAGGAGATTCGAACTTAAAAAAGTTAGAACTGATATCCTAACAAACTTACCTAACTCGCATGTACGGGACAGCTTTAATTCAATTTCAATTTGTCCATCGCCTTTGTGTTTTTTCAGTGACTTTTGAAAGCTGTTTGGAGGTACATATGGATTTGGTCAACAAATGCCCAACCAAAAACCCAAAGGCACTTTTCACCCAAAAAAAAACCCAAAGGCACTTTTCACCCAAAAAAAAACCCAAAGGCACTTTTCACCCAAAAAAAAAACCCAAAGGTACTCGCTCACTTACCCCACACGGATATGCAACTGGGGGAGGTGAAGCGACTAATAATTCACTCATCTCAAATTTCCAACTTCAACTTGAACTTGAATTGTTAACAGGGGAATTCGAAATTGATAGTAATCAACAAGCTATCACAATCACAATCATGATCACAATCTTCTCTTACGTGGCAGATGCATCCTCTATTGGACCACATGGGAAGTACTCTAGTTGCCTTTGTCTTATCTTGTGGAGGTTGAGGTGGAGGTTGAGGCGGCATTGAGGCAGCGCGGGCAGAGACACCATTAGCTGTTCTCAACTGTGTTGTGGGATGGGATGTACCAAAAATCTGGACTTTGTGGCTTCTTGTGACAGCCCACTATACTTGGGCTCAGTTTTCACGCGCCAAACTTCACAACTGTAACAAACTAAGCCCAAATTAAACTTGGGTTTTTTGTGCGTGCGTGTGGAATTAAAGTGAAGTGAACTCAAACTGCATACGGTGAATTTCTGTGGAAGGTCAGGGAGGACGGTAGAGATGGAGCTTCGGGTTGCAACAGTGACTCAGCACGATCAATGGAAGGTGGAGAGTCAGGTCTTTCGGATCTACGATCTCTTTGGCAACCTTCCCCCCAACGCCCAATCCGTAATGTAATAAAGCTCCAAACTTTTCACTCTCAATCAATCCTAGGGTTTAGAAACAATTTTCCTTTTTTTTTTTGGGTTGGTTCTAGAAATTTAAATGGTGTTTCTTTTTTGGGGTGTTGATTTTAAAGGATCGAACTTCAGCGTGATAATCACATAGAGTACTTAACGAGAGGCCTCAAACAACTCCCTCCCCCGTTCTGCACTTTGGATGCCAAGTATACTCTCTCTCTCTCTTCTGGTGATTCTGAGCTGAATTTTAAGGCTCGTTTTCATTGAAGTTTTTATTTTTATGACATGTAAATTTGTTTTCAGTCGACCTTGGCTGTGCTATTGGATTGTGCATTCATTGGCTTTACTAGGGGAGTCTGTTGATGATGAACTGGAACATAACACCATTGACTTCCTTAGCCGTTGCCAGGTATGTGAATATAACTGATTGGGAGTTGTGTTGACAATCGCACATTGCTTAAATGGAACATAATTGAAAGGCCGGTACTTTAGTTTGCCATCTTTTTGTGTTGGCATGGAATGGTAAGTTTAAGTTCTCATGGAGCTTTCTTTTGCTTCCAGGACCAAAGTGGTGGATATGGCGGCGGACCTGGACAGGCAAGTAAATGCTCTCACTATATCTTTGTTGAACTCTGTTGGTGTTATTTGTAATAGCTTGACGAGAACTGCTATTTCCAACCTTAAATTTCCTGGTTGCTTCCATTTTGAGAGCTAGAATTATACAGAATTACTTGTCCGTTCTGCTATATCATGCAGTCTTTTGCTTACAATAGTTTACGTGTTCAATGTTTTCTCAGCTGCCACATCTGGCAACAACTTATGCTGCAGTCAATGCACTCATAACTGTCGGCGGTGATCAAGCTCTCTCATCAATTAATAGGTGGTCAGTTTAGGCTCCTTCAAATAAATAAAAAACTTCTTTACAACAGTGCATTTCCAAGCCTTTTGGAAGTGATTTGACGTCATCATTACTTTTCAGAGGTGAACTATACAAGTTTTTGCGACAAATGAAACATCCAAGCGGTGGCTTCAGGTTCGATATCACATTAATCTGTGTGGTTTTTTATTTTGAGATTAGATTATGACTTCAATTTCCTAAATGCGTACTTCACTTGGAACTGTATTTGATTCCTTACAGCATCCCAACTCTCTCTCTCTCTCTCTCTCCCTCTTGCAGCCTTACAGTTTTTGTTTTGATCAGTATTTGAGTTTGTGTTGCCTTTATCTGTCTGTAATATGCAAAATTTGCAAAGAATTTTTTGGTGCTTATTTATTTGCACAAGGACATATATTTGTGCAATGAAAATTTCAGTACCTTTGATATTTCTTTTACCAGCACTAATTACTTTTCCTTAGGATGCATGATGGTGGAGAAATTGATGTCCGGGCTTGCTACACTGCGATTTCTGTTAGTCTCTCTCTCCCTCCGTCTCTCTAATACATACACAAAGACATTGGTGCAGATTCTTAGTGTGCACATCCTTTTTAATGCATTATAGTTCAGTTCTTCGTTTACAATATGCTTTTGTATTTTTCATGATGACGTTTTTACTCATTCTTGCAGGTAGCAAGTATTTTGAACATTTTGGATGATGAACTGGTTCATAATGTTGGAAGTTTTATCTTAAGGTTTCTTACCTAGTCTTTAATTTTATTGGAAATTTAGCTCAGTTCACACTTTAACGTACTTAGTTATTTTTGCATTATATATATATATATATATGTTGTCTTTGATGTTCTTTAGTAACGTTCTTCCTGTTGGCTTCAATTTGATTGAGTCATTGACTGAAGCTTGCCTTCTTGATATGAATGGCATAATATATTGGGTAAATTAAATTTTTTCCCTTTGCAGTTGTCAAACTTATGAAGGTGGCATTTCTGGGGAACCTGGTTCTGAAGCTCATGGCGGGTAAGTTTCAGACTCATAAATGTTTAAATATGATAAATGTCAACATCAATAGCCTCTTTCCCTGGTTATGTGGATGAAGTGGAATCATGAGTTTGAGTATTAGTTTTTTATACTACTGAGTAGTAATGCGATTTCAGATGTACTAGCAAAAATCTCTGTGAACTTTTAGGTTTCCTATTCCATCCACTCACAAGTTAAATTGTCTGTCTGCCTATTTTTATGTCCTTTGCCATTTACCTATTCTGAAGATTGTATATAACTTTGTCAGATTATGTGAAATTTTAGGGTAATATATTCTGGCTTCCACTCACCTCTCAACATACATGTGTGCATGTCGTGGGCATTTGGTAAGGCCTTTCATAGATCGGACAATTTTTTTCTTCAGGTACACCTTTTGTGGGGTGGCTACAATGATTCTAATCAATCAAATCAATCATTTGGACTTGCCCAGACTAATTGTAAGAAAACTTTGCATCTATTTTGTGTAGTGATATGCAGATGATTGTAAATATTCAATTTGGATCAGTATTCTTTTAGAAGCCTTTTATTCTTCTGTTTGAGTAGTTGGCTATTGTATTAGGATTGGTTGGTATTTCGACAAGGGAAGGAGTTTGGATTTCAGGGGAGGACTAATAAATTGGTTGATGGTTGCTACTCCTTTTGGCAGGTAGTTCTCTGCCTTTTTCTATATCTTCTTGGGGATCCTTTTGAGTCATATTTGAATTATTTATATTAATTGACCAGGGAGGTGTTTTTCCATTATTACAAAGAGTGCGTTCAATTATTGATGAACAACTCGTGCTCCTGGATGCTGGAGGACACCATACTACGAATGGCACGCACACTTCTACGACATCTAGTATATCTGAAGTGGGGGAAAGTTTTGAAGGCATTTCATCTCATGTTGATGATGCTTGCCATTCTAGGCAGGGAGGTTGGTTGACTCAGACAAGTTTAAAGTTTTTGGCTGTCTATTATTTACCCAAATTCATTTGTTTTTTAATCCCGTGTTTTCTATTTTGTGTTATAGTTTTATGTGTTGTGCAGTTATCTTATAATCTTTCTATTCTTGTATGAATGGACGAATGCTCCCTGTGCAGTGAATTTCAATGATATCGGTTATAATTTCGTCAAGAGGCCTATAGAAATGGAGCCACTTTTTCACAGCCTGGCATTGCAGCAATACATACTTTTATGCTCACAGGTGTTTTTTTACAAATATAACTCCATTCTGTGATAACTGGATGCTTGACTGGATTGGTTTTCAAATGGATTGCTTATAAGCTTAATATTGCGTCCGCATTAGTTTGTGCATTAGCTTAATATTACATCTCAATTTACAGATTTCTTGCTTCCCAGGGGTTAATGTTTTAATTTTGATCTGGTTGATGCAGGAGGAGAAGGGTGGGATGAAAGACAAACCTGGGCTATCTAGGGATTTCTACCACACATGCTATTGTCTGAGTGGTCTCTCTGTATGCCAACATATGTGGTCGGATGAAGAAGACTCTCCAGTGTTGCCTAGAGCATTAATGGGTTCCTATTCCAATTTGTTGGAACCAATACATCCCCTCTTCAATGTTGTCTTAGAACAGTACCATGAAGCCCGGGAATTCTTTACAAGAGACTGAACAAAACATTCTCCTCGGTGGTCTTCTGATAACATTTAATAATTATGCGCAGTCTTTGATACATAAATATGAAATTTGATCAGTCATTGGTATTTTCAAGACTGCGGAGGATAGCAGTCAATAAGTGACTGATTTGGCTATAGGAGAAATTGAGGACCAGTCAGAGGCAATATGTAGTAGTTAGTACATGATGCTGTTGTAAGATTATTCAGTGTTGTTTTGTTACTTGTATTAATAATCTGTACTCATTTATGGCCAAAAAAAAAGAAAAAAAAAAATTTACTGCTCAAATGGAATTTACTTGTTTTTGTTTTATTGCGCCCACCACACACCGCCCAGAACCTTTGGCTACCAGTTTTAGCGCTTGGCTGCGTCTGTGTGGTGGTCCAATTGACACCAACTCTGAAAGCAACATGAACAAGTTTAGGGAATGTGGAAGTAACAAGTAACTTTTAGGTTAACTGATGCACAGTGCCACACTGATATGCTATTATTTCCCACTGGCCTGTCTTTAGGAGGCTCTCAAAGTCAAGTCTCCTTTTTATTTACAAGGTTCTCAAATTGAAGTCTTGAAGAAATGGATAACTGTCAAGTTATGGATGCCGAAGAAACCCGTTCTTCAACGTCCTCTCCATCTCAATCTCAGACTAAGAATATGAAAACAGAAAACCAACCACCACCCCAAGACAAAGAAGAAGAAGAAGAAGAAGAAGAAGAAAAAGTGAAAAAGGAAGAAGAAGAAAAGAAAAGAAATAGCATCTCAGAAACACCACCGAGTATCAAGTCTTATTCACCTCCTCTGTTCCAGTCCCCATCTCCACCATCCGATTCTCCAACAACACACACAACCCATCAAGCCTACCACACTCATGAGTTCAGAGTCACACCTTCAGACACCAAGCCGGCATCGCCACCGGCTGTGCCAGCCCGGTCTTTCGAGGTCGAGCCCAAGGTCGTGGATCCCAAACCACAAGTTGGGTTTTCTGGGCTCGCAGAGGTTCAAGAAGAAAGTGGTGGTGCTACTGCTACTGGTACTAATGGTGGTGGTGTAAAGATGCGAACTTTGAGAGCCAACTTATCGATATTGAACAGGTCGAGGAGGGAAAACATGGTGAGGAGGACTTTGCTTGGGTTTAGGATTTCTGGGTTTGTGTTCTGCTTGATCTCTTTCTCGGTTATGGCGGCTGACAAGAACCAGGGTTGGGCTTTAGATTCCTACTATCGCTACAAGGAGTTCAGGTCTGTCAATTGTCAGCCCCTTCCTCTGTTTCACGACAAAGTATTGCTTACTTTTTTACTCTGGTTTTTATGCTCTGTCAGTTTCTGTCTGATGACTTGTTGCAACATAAACAAAGCTTTGAACTTTAAAATTTTAGAGTCATTTTGTCGAATTATTTAGTTTCTTTTTTCCTTTTGGGCAAAAATGGTATGTGGGTTTGGGGGATTATAGGGAGATTATTAATTGGAATTGTGAATTTGTAGGTACTGCTTGGCAGTGAATGTGATAGGATTTGTGTATTCAGGGCTGCAAACCTATGATTTAACCTATTTCTTCACCAGCGGAAAACATGTAATGCAGCTTCATCTCCGCCATTACTTTGATTTCTTGATGGATCAGGCAAGTCTCACAAGTCTTTGACTCTTTGTGTATATATGTATAAACAAGAGGCTCTTACATTAATTAATTATCCTACCTAACGTAGCCCCATGCATACGCCCTCCCCTGGCCCCTCGTCTTTGATTATTTGATGCTACAGGAAGTGTTTGCTCTCTCTCTCTCTCGGCATTTTTCTGATAATTATGGGGACCACAGCCTATGAAGGTGGTCCTTCAGCACTTGGATGGTCATCTACTTATTGGTTTATTATACTTTTTTTCCTTTTTGTTGTTGGTTTGTTGTTGATGATTAATGATGTTTATTATTCACATCTTGGCCATTGCCCCACACGGAATCGCATCATCAGATAAATTTGGATCAGTTGGTTCTTGACTTTTTCTTTCACCACCTTTTGAGTACCTTTTTTTCTTGCCTTTTTCCACAGTAATGATTCAACTTTTGCTTTCTCTGTTTAAAACTGTATCCATTGGTAGAAAATTTACCTCATCTTGTAGCAAACATATTGGAATTAACAGCTTAAGTACACTATATTTGGACACCCCAAAAAAAAAAATCAGATGGATTTGTCACACTTATGAAACTTGGCAGACAGGTTTTCCTAGAACAGAGGTGGAATTCTGCATTCTGATTACCTGTTGTATGCTGTATTATATATAACTTAATGTGGAATTTGGCATGGCAGATTTTGACATACCTTTTGATATCAGCATCTTCATCCGCTGCAATTCGGGCTGACGACTGGGAGTCGAATTGGGGCAAAGACAAGTTCCCAGATATGGCTCGTGCGGCCGTGGCATTGTCCTTCCTTGCCTTTCTTGCCTTTGCCTCCAGCTCCCTCATCTCTGGTTACACACTTTGTACCCTGAAATCCATCTAGTTCCTCATATACTTAAGATTTACTGAGTTAGATTAGATGGACAGTTAAAAAGTCACTTAATTTTTAAGAAATGTTGCAAATTATGTAGAGAAAGTTACTTTTATGTTGCATCTTCGTCATGATTCAAGGATGATTTGGCACAATGTGTTTTTGGACAATTTAAGATTATTAAGAGTGCTTAATTGTTAACTTATAACAGTAACTCCTAACAGATGCCTGCATATTGGGAAAGAGAGAGAATCACAGTTAACCCAATTATCCTGGCAATGTTGGATCCAAAAACTAAAATGGAGTTGCCAAAGGACTTGGTTCTGTAAGACTTGCAGAATGTAACATATGGGCATGTGTGCGTATGGACAATGAGAGAGATGATATGGGCTGACAATTGGGCTGGATATTAACACATCAACCAAATACAATTGCAAATTTTAGATGGCTCTGTTTATTTGTACCCATTTTTCTGCTGACCATACTCCAAAAGGCAAGCTTAAAAAGTACTGGTTTTTCTTTTCTTTCTTTCTTATTTTTCTTATTGTTGGTGTGAACCATAAGAAAAACAAGACATTGTCCTCAAACAATAATGAACCTCGAGCAATAATGCATCCCGATGCATAATTTCAGGTGTTTTTTCTCCTTTCTTCTTTCTATGGCCACGTAGGAAAATATCCAGCTTCAACAAAACGACACGCTGCAGAGGGCTCATAGGTCCTCCCTCCCATGATATGGAAGTATTTTTGTTCACCACTTTAACCCACGGTGTACCATCACCATTCTTTTTAAAAAGTGACACATGTTCAAGAGTTTAACTATAGTTAATTCTTTATTTTTTATTTGTTTAATGACATTATTATGAGAGAAAAAAGATGCTTTAATAAGATTTTTCTTGATTTACCATTATTCTATTAATTAACCGAACAAACTTTCCACTTTTATATTAATTACTCAAAAAATAATTGATTCATTCAACACTGCTGAACAGTTTGACGAAAATCATAACGGAAGACTCTCGATTGCCACTCCTCCTTCATAACCCAAAAAAAACAAAAAAATCAAATACTAAAGAGATTTTAATCCTGTGATTAATAGGAGGCTTTAATCCAAATTGAACCTAACTAAATCAAATACTTTTTTTTTTTTATATTTATAAAATGGTGGGGACAAACCCCAACAAACAACTCCACTCATTTGCTTGTGTTTACTCATGACATCCATGGTTGATATTGATCTCTTCCTATTAAAGTGCAAGAGCTATCTGAGTGTGTTTACTCATCTCACTCATTTGCTTACAAGAAGAAAACCCTTCAATTCCCCTCAAAGTTTGGCTTTTCTGTGCATTTCAGTCATCAATGGCTGCAGCTTCAAGTGATTCCATACCCTCTGTAAACAAGGCTTGGGTGTACTCAGAATATGGAAAGGCTGCAGATGTTTTGAAACTTGATCCCAATGTTCCTGTTCCTGAAATAAAGGAAGACCAGGTGCTCATCAAGATGGTTGCTGCAGCTCTTAACCCAGTTGATTACAAGAGGATGTTTGGGTATTTTAAGGCCACTGACTCTCCTCTACCTGTGAGAGCCTCTTTCTCTTTCATTTTCTTTTAATGCATTTGCTTGTATTTTGAATTGGGGTTTTGAAAAAAATGTTTATTTTAGGAATTTATAGGTTTTTATTTTTTCCTTTTTAATTGTTTGGCAGTCCAGTCCGAAAATATGGCCTGCTGTTGTTGGATCCATTTTGCTGTATAATTGGCCTTTCTTCTTTTTTGATACAAGTAACAAATTTTGTGCAGATCTAAATACTTTAGGAAAAAAAAGGTAGATGCTTTGAAGAATCAAAGTAAATTTCATCTAGTTGAGTTGATCATGAAGGAAGTTTTGTCACCTTGTTATGTTTCTATTGCATGTTCCCATTAGCATGTTTATATTACTAGTCATCAGCTGGAATCAATTTGTTTTGCAGACGGTTCCCGGGTATGATGTTGCTGGTGTGGTGGTGAAGGTGGGAAGCCAAGTAACAAAGTTTAAGGTGGGGATGAAGTATATGGGGATCTCAATGAGAAAGCTTTGGAGAACCCAACAAGGTTTGGGTCTTTGGCAGAGTACACTGCTGCAGAAGAAAGAGTTTTGGCTCTCAAACCCCAAAATCTGAGTTTTGTTGAAGCTGCTAGCCTTCCCCTGGCTATTGAGACTGCCTATGAAGGGCTTGAACGAACTGAATTTTCTGCTGGTAAATCCATTCTTGTTTTAGGAGGCGCTGGGGGAGTGGGAACACATGTTATTCAGGTAAAGTAGTTTGATTTCTAATTGCAAAATGTCCTCATGCTTTATATAACTCAATCTGCACATGGAATTAGTTAAGAAGTGCAAACATTTCCACTAATTTGGGCAGCTAGCAAAGCATGTTTTTGGTGCTTCAAAAGTAGCAGCAACTGCAAGCACTAGAAAACTGGAGCTGTTGAGAAGCTTGGGTGCTGATTTGGCTGTCGACTACACCAAGGAGAAGTATGAAGAACTGGCTGAGAAATTTGATGTGGTATATGATACAGTTGGTAAGATTCTTCATTCTGGTTTCTCAACAATTCTATACATTATGTCATCCATATATGGCATGCACCTACCAACAGGGGAATCTATTAGTTTATTTATTTACCAGGAATGAATCAAAGACTGATATTATTATATGATGTTTTTGAAAAAAAAAAAAACAGGGGAATCTGACAGGGCAGTGAAGGCAGTGAAAGAAGGAGGGAAGGTAGTGACAATAGTACCAGGTCCAGTAGCAGCACCGGCCTTCATATTTATACTGACTTCAACTGGGACTATATTGGAGAAGCTGAAGCCATACTTGGAGAGTGGGAAGGTGAAGCCGGTGCTTGATCCCACGAGCCCATATCCCTTTTCCAAGACTGTTGAAGCATTTGCTTACCTTGAAACCTACAGGGCTACAGGGAAGGTGGTTGTGCATCCCATCCCATAAGAAAGATGGAAGAGATTGTGCAGGCAGGCAGGCAGGCAGGAAATCAGTCAGTTTGTGGGTTATGTATTTCTAATCTGCTGGTTGTGTAAACTTAGTGTTGTAATAATGGGGATGTGAGATGCTTATATATATTATAATATGTGTTTAACCCACAAATATTCCTGTAGCTAACGTATGAAAATACAAATACTTAACGCAATTTCCTAGGTGAGAAGCTGAAGAGAATTGGTTCATTGGGCCGAGTTTACTTTGGGATAAGAACAAGGATAAGGAATAAGGCTTTCTTTGTGTATTCCTTGTATGCTGTTCTTCTTTCAAGATTCCCAAAAGAGAGAAAAAGATCCCTTTTTACAAGCATCACAGGTTCTATTTATAGGAGGTTTTAAACAAGATAATTTATGAGATGGTCACCTCGGCTCGGGTTCTAATAAACCAACTTTTTATATATTCCATCACAGGTGGTCACCTCGGCTCAAAGTTAATAGCATCACAGGTTCTATTTCAGGTTCTAATAAACCAACTTTTTATATATTCCAGAGTGAAAACCAACTCCCACTACCCACCTCAACGCCACCGAAGCCGACATTTCTCTCTCTCTCTCTCTCTCTCTCTCTCTCTCTTTCTGGCCAAGCGTAACCCCGAGAAACCACAAATCTATCCTTATTCTAGCTGAAGATGATCATGACTATACCAGTGCAATCTCGGTTACAGAAATGAGCGCACAATTAACATCAAATGATGAAGAAGATGCACCACAGACCTTGCAGAAATATGGAGGGTAGCTTCAAAATGTGTTGGATGTGATACCTGAGGAAATTAAGACAGAAACATCCTGGGAAAGTGCAGAAGTAATTACCTGCATAAAAGAGGATAGAACAATTCAGAACTCCCAAGAATCCTCAGACAAAGAAAAGAAAGAAGATATAGAAAGCACAAATAATACATAAGAAAATGAAACTGCAGTGGTGGAGGTAAGATTAGGATAATATGTGAATTTTTCTTTTTTAACGTATTGCCGCACGGCTATACCAATTGAATAGCATAATCTGAATTTATATTTTTTAATTACTTCCATTAGTACTTATGTTTTAATTATTATTTACTTAGTGAATAATAGTAGTTTAATATTTTAATATATTTTATTTTTATTCAATAATATGTGAAAAATACAATAATTTTGTGTGTATTATTGAAAATTTTGTAAAAACAAGTGTATTAAACATGAAAAATACGTATGTACATGTACAATACAAGTATTAAACCTGAAAATGTTAAATTCAGACACTCTGTAAAGTGATATTAAAAGAGACTCCATCTACTGCATTGCTCACAGGTGAAACGAAGCATGCCACAATCACTACGACAGAAGAAGAAAACATGAGCAATGTGCAAATACAAGATGATGAGAACGGAAACGCTACAAGCAATTGGGGAACCAGAAAACCACAGAACTAAAAGGAACAACCATGGAAGCCACCAATCTTGACATTGAAACAAGTGAAAAAGCTTCTGACTCTGCTCCAGAAGGTGGCTTCAGCAGATCAGAAGATACTACGATAAACAGAGAGCACCTAAAGAATGAAGCAAATGAAACCATAAAGAATGAAGTTTCAAATGAACAGAAGCATCTTGAGGTAGCAATATCTGATTCAAGGGCAGAAGAGAGGTGGTGTGAGACAACAATTGAAGCAAATGAAACCAGGAAGAATGAAGTTTCAAATGAAGAGGTTAGATAATGAAATTGGACCGTAGTTAGATATTAAATTTCATCTCTCTAATTCTCATCTTCCCTTTCCCCAAACACCCTCCTCCCTTATTTTTCTTTTCTCGAATTGCAATTTCTGTATTAACTTAGGCAGAAACTTAAACAGATCGAGGCTGAAAAGCTAGAGGCAAAAGATTTGCGGCCGATTTCTGTTAGTGGAGAAAACATCAGCCATACAGAACAAGAAAATGAGTTGATAGCTGAAAAATATGAAGGAGAGAAGAGTGAAACATTTAATACCGCAAGAAATGAAAATCGGGACAATGAGGTTAGAGCATAGAAAGCATTCTTCTCTTAGTTTTTCATTATGTGTGAAGTTCAATCTTTAAAGATTCTGTTATCTATACTCGTGCAGGAATCCCCGAAAGAAACTACACAAGTGGCTAAACATTTAACTGAAGACAAAGAACTTCAAACCGAAGAGAATCTGTGTGACACAACAGTTGAAGCAAATGAAAAAATTAAGACTGAACTTTCAAATGACGAGGTCAAATATACAATTGGACTACCCCATCATATTTTTTTCCTGCAGTTATCTATATATTAGAGAAAGTACTAACAAGGGGTATATTATCAGATCAAGGAGGGTAAGGAACTTCCAAAGGATTCTGAGGCAGACTCTGTCAGAGAAGAGAGCCATCAGGGAAAAAAAGCAATAGCTGAAGAGTATCAAGTAGAGAAGACCAATGAAAGTTCTGTGATCAGAACAAACGAAAATCGGGGCGAGGTCAGTGAATAGAAAACAAACGTTCTTAATTACCATTTTAACATAAATCCTTGTAACCTATAATATTGAATATTTCATCTATAATTCAGTTGCCTGAGGAGAAAGATACAACAGCTAGCAAAGAAGTGCAAACTGAAGAAGAAGAAGAAGAGCACGAAAATGCTGAAGAAGTAAAAACATATGAAGAGACGGGAGAAAATGAACACAAAAATGCAGAGCCAGGCTATGATTCTCCCGTCATTGTAGAAGCCTCTAGAGATGCTGATGCTAAGATTTCACATTAGAAATCCCATAATATCCTTTCAGGTATCAAGCATTCAATTTCCAAGGTGAAGAAAGCCATTACCGGCAAGTCTTCTCATTCAAAGACACAATCAGAAAAATAAGTAAATAAAACAAAACCAAGAAGATGGTTCCGACAGTTGAAGAATTGGATGAATAAAGGTTTCATGCGGGTGTGCTTGTTCTAAGAGGTTTGAGTGTGGTATGTGTGCTTGTGCAGCTTGAATAAGTTCAATATTCTTTTTTAGCTTTTTATCACAAATGGTCCTTGACGTTTACGAAATTATCACGAATGGTCCTTAAGGTATTTTTGTGACACTAATAGTCCTTAACGTTTGGACTTTTTATCACAAATGGTCCTCTCTCTCTCTCTCTCTCTCTCTCTCTCTCTCTTTTACCTCCATTAAAAAAAAAAGGTAAAAAACGTACAGAAGTTTCACATAAAAAAAGTGCGAACCTCTTTTATATGTGGAAGCAGATAGATTCTTCCTTTTAAAGCTTAAAACATATTTTGTGTGGAAACACAAGCACCACCTTCCTTCTCTCCCTCTCGCTCTTTTACCTCTCAATCTATCTCTGTAACTCTGTTTCCGATTAACAAAAGATGTCCAATAACGAAGAGCCTGTGGAGGAAACAAATGGGAATTCATTTCACATAGTGAAGCAGGATTTGAAAGATCGATCTAAGGTATGGCCAAATTTGAATGGTTTTTTAATGGATTTTCATCAAAAAAATATTTATTTATTTATTTAATCCACATGTCACGATGTGATTGGACATGTGGGCTCCACTTATCTTCCACATCATACACTTAACAGAATTTTTGACGGCAGGGACCATTTGTGATAAAAAGTCCAAACGTTAAGGACTATTAGTGTCACAAAAAAACCTCAAGGACCATTCGTGATAATTTCGTAAACATCAAGGACCATTTGTGATAAAAAGCCTTCTTTTTTTGTATAAAGTGCCTAATTGTAAATTTGTAATCTATTTGCCAATTTCTAGTGCATTCTGTTTAGGCATATATACAAGAAAATGGAGTGTACAGAGCCATTGTGTTCATCACTTTGATTATTTGAGTGATATTTTATTTTATTTTTCTAAATTCTTATATCCAACCCTAAATCTCGAAAAAGAAAATATACCAAGAGATACCATTACTGAAGTTACCCATACGTTACCAATATGAATAATAAAAATAAACTAGCTAGCTAGCTATTCAATGTATGGTGTGAACCAAACAGTTTGAGAATTGAATAGGCTAGTGCGAGGGTGATCATTGGGAACAATAAAACGCTGGATGTTCTTGTTTGTCAAGGAAAACACCCCAAAGTCGCGTCCCATCCACGGTGATGCTAAGCAAGAATTATCGAAAGCAAAACAAATGCAATTTCCTTCAACTCTCTTCTTAGAATCGCCATAACTAAGACTGAGGCTCGTAGCAGAGATGAGCTTGTTGCTTGCCTTGCTCAGGAACAGTATCCTATCGCCGCCGAGGTCTTCAACCTCTACCCACTGAGGACCATTGTTGTTACATTCAAGCTTGAACACTCGAAATCCTTTAGTTTGAGGTGGAATGACATAATCCTGATCTAAGAGGAGGGACAGGGGAATTATTGGATCCTTCTCAAAAGCAAGACTGGTGTTATGGAAAACCATAAACAAGTCCTTTGTTGTAGGATCTTTTGCTAAGCGAAGGCCTTCCCTTTCGGTAAAATACTTGACGCCACCCGTAGTGTTAGAGGACAGGGAACGAACTGGCCCTGGATGAAGCATAACCAACTTTTGAGGCGGCCCACTGTACTTATTACCAGGAGGCCCGGCATTGGCATGGCCTTCAGCATGTAACATTTGGAGATCGTACACGATCAAATACTGTGCTGCATCCTGATTTGCAGCATATAATTTCCCATCAATTATTTCAATATCCAGAGTAGTGAAGCGTCTATCCTCTAGCACTGGCTCAATGACGGTCCATGATTTATCTGTTGGTCTACAAAAGGCCAAATAAAGGCCTTCCCCACAAAGGCCAGCCACAAGACATGATGAGTTTATTATCTGATGACGATGATGATGATCATCTGATTCTGACCATGACGACGTCGTTAGCAATGGCACTGAAGAGGCTACCACTTTCTTGAAAAAGAAAGGTCTGGTGCCGTACATGTATGGGATGGTGGATTGTGATGGTAGCATGACCCGAACACCCGAAATCGGGTTCAAGAAGAAGTTGAGGGTAGTATAAAGGTACCTGAGATGATAATCTAGCAAGGCGTGCAAGCAGAATGACCAAGGATACAAAAAACCCTCGGGACGCCAAAATTCACTATCAACCATAATCAACCACCCCTCGATGGAACCAACACAATCTCGCCTGCTTATATAATCGTTAGAGCCAAACGACGACGACTTGTGAGTTTTGTTGTCACTTAGACTCAAGAAGTAATGATCTTTGAGAGAGAACGGGTGTGAACGGAGCATGAGCCAGGGAAGCTGAAGTTGAGGAGCAGGAGGGCAACGCTTAACGGCTAGGGCGGCTCTCCAAGAACGGCATACTGCGCCGCAGCGGAGATAGTCTGGGAGGCATAGCCGTTGCAGAATCAATTGCATGATTTCCTCTGGGAGTTCATCAGACCACCTGCTTATAGTAGTGGTACTGATCACTGCCATTGTCATCTTGTGGCGACTAAAATGTCGAGGGAGAGAAAGCAACAAGTTTCTCCACAGGCGGTAGTATGTGAATGTGACCTGAAAAATTGCAAAACCAAATTGTGTACATTTCAACCTTGTGTTCCTAGAAACTTTTCTAATCGGCATGTTTTCCTGCATGCATATGTAGGACAACCAAGCAGCCACCAAACTCGTCTCAAGACGGAGGGGCTAGGGGGATGTGCAAGGAGGAAGAGAGGGATGGAGGCCAACGACCCTTGGGGGACGGCGGCTCAAACTTTCTCTCTTAATATAAGGTTTTCTCACTTAGGGTTTAGCTTTTTTTGTTTTTTTTTGTTTTGTGGTACAGATTGTTCTTCGAAGTATATCGAAAGCCCAAATTGAAATAGTTACAAAGTTTGAAACGACTACATAAACATTTAAACCAATTCATGCGTATCATGCAGCGAAGAAAAAATAAAGCTGCATATGTCTGTCTAAACCAAAAAATAATAAATAAAAAGAAGAGAAGAAACCTACCGGTCTCCTTATGTCTATCTTCCGCTAAACACATGAGCAGTACTTAGGGAGTCAATCCAAAATATACTAGCTCTTGTAATTTCCGATAGTCCATATATATATAAATAGAATCTAAAGAGTATAGCCGGGCCGCTATACTATTTATTAAAAAGAATTTAAAAGACCCGCCGAGCGTGTGTAGTATGTGTTTTTGTGGGAAGCGTATAGCCGCGCGGCTATACTCTATAAATAGATTTTTTTTTAATCGTATAACCTCTTGGCTATACCCATTGAATAGCATAGATAGAATTTCTATTTTTTAATTACTTCAATTAGTAGTTATGTTTTAATTATTATTTACTTAGTGAATCATTAGTATTTTAATATTTTAATATATTTCATTTTTATTCAATAATATGTGAAAAATACCTGAATTTTGTCTGTATTATTGAAAATTTTGTAAAAACATGCGTGTTAAACATGAAAAATAAGTACGTACGTGTACAATATGAGTATTAAATGTGAAAATGCTAAATTCTTTATACGGGTAATAACTCTGGAAAAGTAAAAACTCAAAAGGGAATAATAGAAACTCGGTTAACAGCCTAATAGTAATGGATAATGCTCTAGACTAGTATTATCGATAAACAAAAATCGGGGAAAAATAAATATTTTTGTTTAAAGTCACATTATCTATGTAAAGAGTATAGACACGCGGCAATACTATTTATAAAAAAGAATTTTAGAAAAAATACCCCAGTAAAGCCGAACAGCTATTCGCTTTTTATAAATAAATAAAAAATCTGGAGTGTAGCCGCTCGGCTATATTATTTATAAAATAAAATAAAAAACTCGCCCAGCGCATAGGGAGGGGTTTTTTTTAAACGAGTATAGCCGTGCGGCTTTACTAAGAATACTTCAAATGTCGCCTTAACAAGTCTCTGTACGGTTTAAAACATGCATCTCGACAGTGGTTTGCAAAGTTTTCAGAAGCCATACAAGCTACAGGCTACATCCAATCCAAAGCTGATTATTCACTCTTCACTTGCAAAAAAGGGAAGTCTTTTACAGCTCTCTTAATTTATGTCGATGACATTTTGATTACAGGAAATAATGTAGCTGCGATTAATTCTCTCAAACAGTTTTTGCACACTCGATTCCGCATCAAAGACCTTGGTGATTTGAAGTACTTTTTAGGGATTGAAGTGTCCCGTTCCAAGCAAGGTACATGCATCTCCCAGAGGAAATACACCTTGGAGATTCTCAAAGATGCAAGTATTTTGGGAGCACGACCAGTGAGTTTTCCCATGGAACAAAACATCAAGCTCTCAAATGAAAGGGAGATACTCAAGGACCAGGCCAAGTATAGAAGGCTCGTGGGACGTTTAATCTACTTGACGATCACACGGCCCAATATCACATATGTTGTACATGTGCTCAGCAGGTTTATGCATGAGCCACACATCCCACATATGGATGCTGCTCTTCGAATCTTGAGATACCTTAAATACACTCCAGGCCAAGGAATACTCTTTCCAACACAGAATGACTTAAAGTTGAAGGCGTTTTGTGATTCTGATTGGGCTGGGTGTCCGACGACTCGCAGGTCGACCACAGGTTACTGTGTGTTTCTAGGAAACTCGTTGATCTCTTGGAGGACAAAGAGACAAAGGACTGTGTCTCTCTCTTCAGCAGAAGCTGAATATAGAGCCATGGCTAGCACATGTTGTGAGCTCTCTTGGTTGCGGTATCTATTACTAGACTTGCAACTAACACATTCACAACCAGTCACACTACATTGCCACAACCAAGCGGCATTACATATAGCTGCTAATCTGGTTTTTCACGAAAGAACAAGGCATATTGAGATGGATTGCCATTTCATCAGAGACAAGATCCAGGATGGTTCAATAGTTACAAAACATGTTTCTTCCTCACAACAGGTGGCGGACATCCTGACAAAGCCTTTAGGAAAAGAAGGATTTTCAACAATGCTGTGCAAGTTGGGAGTTCTTGACATCCACTCTCCAACTT